ACATTTTAAGCCAAAAATTACATGCAAAAAGAAACGAAAGTCGTTTAGATATAAGCACTTTCTCCCTTATTTTTATAAAAGTAAACTTTTGTTTTAGTAACTACAGAAAATCTAAAGGCAAGTCGCAGTTGTGCCCATGTCTGTATATGATCCATTCATGTAATTATTAGTTATACCTTTCCCATGTTAATACACAGTTTTAATATGTATTTGCATTTTATATTTGCTTAAAGACATTACAAAAATCAGTTATATAAGTCGTTTAAATATAAATACAACAATAATATATGTACATATTGTGTGTACGGGTCATCGTAAACGCTTTGATCGAGATAGTACAAACAACAAATGTATTAACACAGCGGCTTAAAAACAATAGCTATATTAAATTATAGCCGCACCGTTCGAAAATGTGAAGGGGAAGAGCCATTCAGCGGTGGTCGTATAACTAATGAGCTTTCGTTTAAATTATTCGATATATTTTGTATTAAGTGTGTTTTGAGTGCAACTTAATAATGTTGCATAATACGCCAAAGGTTTTGCAAAGTCCAAAACTGTTTTGCAAGATACATAGCTAAAATATATTGGTTTATGAACATTCATGTATATTAAAATGCAAATTAACATATTTGGCACATATTATATATTACTTAATTAGTTTTCTTCGTCTGCTGGGTTTATTGCTGCTTCCACCTAAAATCTTCTTGCGTTGTGCAAACATATGGAGATACATTTGTGGGAATAGAGGTATATACAAGAGCATACAATCCAGAGCAGAGCAAAATATGAGAACGTGGCATTCCATTTATTTGGCATTTGCAATGACCAAATTGTATTTGATTTGGCATATCCTTGTGCCCACCAAAAACATAGTAGCTCACCGGTTACGCCAATTGATAAAGAGCTATAAATGTTGTGTATCGTAGAAAACCACAATGTAGGCAAACAGTTTATAATATTGAGAGCATAATAGCCATATTCTTATGATTTCGGTTACTGCCCACGCAAAAGCGCTATTGGTAATCCAGGCGACACTTTACCCATTGGTGTAGCCATAACGACTCCAATGACTACTATCATTCGGCTCAGCACTTGGAATGTTGTTATTACAGGATTCGATTTTACTAAGCCAAAAGCTGCATTGAAAATTTCAACAAACGCGGCATTTTGGAAAACGATTACGGCAACGCGGGTGTAGTCCCAAAGTTCCAATCGAGCCCGGAATTCCGGTCCTGCAGCAAATAGTAATTACTAACTGAAAGAGGATGTAACTCCACCCAACCACTTGTGCAGCGTTGTATGCAAAAGGTAACCTTGACCGCTGGTCCCTGTTGCTGAGAAGCTGATTTCACTGTGGTCGATTTCGCAGACATTTTTGTTTCACTACCTTCAAAGTCCAATTAACGAAATCAACACGTCCATACACTTTCACTAATTTTAAACAAGTGTATTGTCAGTATCGTTCAACAGCTGTAGCAGATGAGGAAATAAACTCGTTTTAATAAAATTGGCAGTTGAACTGGGTTGATAATGTTAGATTTTAATACGCATTGTCAAAGTTAATTGTGAACAGTGCGGAATAAGAAGAAGAAATAAGATGCAATTTATTAGTTTGTTTACAAAAGTAGTATTTCTCGAATCATATTTGTTTATTATTTCAAAATAATACAATGGTCACACAATTAGACGATGTTCGTTTAATTAAACTAGTGCAATCGCATCCTATTTTGTATGATAGAAATCTCGCAGAGGGCCCAAAACTTTCTTGAAAGATGATATTTGGAAAAGTTTTCCTTGCAATTAAACTGCTCAGGTAAGTACACAAAATGTTGTATGAAATGTTATATATGTTAACTTTCTTTAATCTTCTCAGAACGAGCTTGTATAACAAGATGGAAAAGTATTCGCGATCGCTTTGGAAAAGAATTGCGTAGGGCACAAGAAAATCCTGAGGAAGTCGTCAACTGGGACATGTTTGAACATCTACTCTTTTGCGGAGCATTACAAACATGGGTATTGTAAAATATTGGCGACTGATGACTGATAAAACTTTGAATCTCGTTTATAGGCAAGCAAATAACGAATCACTAGTTAATATAAAATATGAACCCAAAAGAAAGCGGGGCGAAAGCCCCGGAGAGATTGCGAAGCGGAAACATTTAAGGCGGAGCGAGATGACGACGATGTGGATCCTGAAAGTTAATTGAAAATCAACAATTGATCGAATTAGTAAAAGAACATCCCGTACTGTATGATAAGTATAAAATCAGGATTCGAAAATTTGACACTGAAAAATGATGCATGGCATGAAATTTCAGACAGTATGGGCATATCGGGTAATTAAAATAAATTATCCCACTCTTACAGATAAAATAATAAATTCATACTTTTCAGAAGAGACATGTTATAAACGGTGGAAATATTACGGACCGGTTTGCACGCGAATATCGTCACCAGAAAATTTATCCCGAGCGATCCGTGACGTGGGTATATTTTCAGATTTGTCGTTTCTCAAAGATCATTATAGAAAAGGGTAACTTCATTATTAAAAGTATATTTGTTAAAATGTGTTTTGTTTTAAGAATTCCGCTCCCAGTAGATGACATTAGACAAAGGAAGAAAGCGAAATCAGCAACAACAACAGCAATATCCACAGAGGAGACTTGGGTCGAAGATTGTCCGTTTCTATATGTTAAAGACGGACATCATTCACCAGACGAAAATATAGATGATATTGACACTGCATTTAGTGAAGTTAATTCAAACTCATTAGATGAACTAATATAATGCCAAAAGTGACGAGTCATATAACGATATTGTCGTTGATGAATCAATAACACCGCCAGGAAATACCTCACAGTCTAGTTTTGAAGGAACAAATTTAGAAGAACCCGACAAAAACTTTCGGTTGTAATTTCAGGAATGCAACAAGTTTTAGAACAATCACAGGAGTGTTTAAAATCATTACAAAACAAAAGAACAACAAAACAAAAAATACAATCCGACGTGAGTTTGTCGATAAATGCCGAAGTAAGTATGATCCAAAAGTACATATATTACTGGATGGTTTGAATTTGCCAAATCGAACGCTAGCTGAACGTCGAATAGTTCCATTTCTATGTGAATGTCAAATTAAGACATTAAACAATGTGGATATAGACGATGTGGATGGTACAGAAGATTTTAATTACATAAAATTAAATAACTTTTAATTTAAATGTTTACTATTGTGGTTATATATTTATACATAAAGATGGTTTATAAAATTAAAGAATAGTTAAAGTTCTGAAATTTTGAATAAAATAAAACAAGATTTAAAGAAATTTACTTTCAGAACATAAGGAAATATAAGAAAAAGTGATGGAGGGTACTAAAAAAATTTCAACAAATAAATTTTCTTTCACTGGCGACCTTGAACCTTTTGACAATAGAGGTTGGACTGTCCTTTCGGTTAATCATACTCTGCTTAGAAATGATAATATTTAATATTTTATTTTTCTTGTCAAACCCTTTCAAAGAAGTTTACAAGCACGATTAAATTAAAAAACTTGTATATACTATCATTTGGTCCTCATTATGTTCTATAATTTTCGCACAAGTGTGATATCAATCAATCAAGTTGATCATAATTCAAACTTTTACGCTCGAGTGTTCAATAAAATTAACTATTTTGTTGAACATACTCCATTAGGACGGCTGTCATGACATACAGTAACAATGTTGACTAGACTAAACATACCATACGATTCTCATTGCGGGAGCGCCGATATTAGTGAAAAATTGTTGAGGACTGCTATCGTTAAGTAAAATATTTAAAATTACTAACCTATGAAAGTAGTTTTAAGTAAATTAAAATATATTGGTCGTGCTCTCTAATGGAATTTGAAAGAAATATAAATATATTGAGAGGCATAAAAACAAGTAAAGTATAAGCAAATCATATTACTATAAATGGGCAATCGTGTTAAATGTTGGAATTTTTTTTTAGTCGACTTGGATAACTATGTTAAATTTGTCTCTAATATATAGAAATACATATGTTATTATAAGAACGGTACAAAGATTGTAACGTACGAGTAGAAGCTGAAATTAAAGTGTTGGTGCAGTCGAAATTTACACCGATCGTGACGACAGTCATCAAAGTTAGCGTATCACAGTGAAGCGTTGGCGCAGCTTACGCACACGTACAAAGTTTTTGTGTGATGTTAAACAAGTGAATAGCCAGTGAACACCAAGTGTAAACTGACTACGATTGTTGGCAGGAAATCAGATTGATTTCAATAGATTCGGGAGACGGATGCAAGTTGCCACTTACTATATGCCGTGCTGATCTACTGCTGTGGTGGAAAAATATTATCTACATACCAAAAATTAAGAAATCAGTGTATATACTGCCGAAAGTATCATATTGCTAACATCAATAATACTTTTATCAAAATTGTCACCGACAAACGGAAAAGGAAAGTGGAGGTAAAGTTTGAAGTGTAAGAACTGCATTCACGCGTATTGGTCACAAATTTGTTTTGAGGTTATAACATGATTTTACTGGAAATCAATAACCGCATCGTCGAAGAGACACTTCTTGTCAAATTTCGTAATGCGTTAGCTGGGTAGTTAATATATTAAATTTAAATGAGCATGCATTATGTACATATTAAAATTTATTTCCACTATCGAAAATGCCCTTATCAAAGTCTGGGTTAGTAATTGTTTAGATATGTTTATTACAAAACATTTGTATATGTGTATATTTGTACAGATTTATATGCATGTGTAATCTTCTCGTTATAAACAAGATTATTAGCTAAATTGTTTCTTGTGGTTTTTGCAGTGTTGTTCCCTCGACATACTAATAAGGAAACCAGGGATAACACCATTAATCTAATACACATGTTCCGAGATTATTTACATTATCATATTAAGGTAAGTTTAAACTTTATACCTACAATTGTATTTTGTAAAATGATTAAATTTTTTTCCGCTTGTGATTGGCAGTGTTCAAAAGCGTACATTCATTCTAGAATGCGCGCAAAAACGTCCGACTTTCTGAAAGTGCTTAATCGTGCTAGACCGGAGACTAAAAATACGGAAAAGAAAACCATTACGTAAGTTAATTTTCAATAAAATTAATCAAGTATTTATTATGCCTCAGTTGTTGGATTTCATTTAAATGAGCATATTACATTTTTTGTTTACAGGGGGAGAACATTTATTCGCAAGGAATGATTTACCGAAAATGTCTAGTTGTTTTATATTTATATAATAATTATAACTTTATGAAAAAAGTTGTATTCAAAGCCGTGAAATTAAAAAATTATATTATAAATGAATTTTGCGCGATTTAAAACATGACAGGGAATATATTCTGTCGGCATATACAAAACACAAAATGCTAAGATTATTAAAAACTCTTAAGTTAAATTAATCAACTAAAAACACCACAATACAAGAAATAATTCCTCGAGACATAATAGGATTATTAATTTGGTAAAAGCCCTAATGAAATTAAACTAAATATGTACAATTAAGTTCCAAACCGGCGTAAACGTGTTATGTAATGACGCTGTATAAAAGCGGAATAAGAAATAAATAATTAAACAAAAATTAAATTTGAAAATACATACTAGATAATGTGAAATATGAAATAACACAGCTTCGTCAGTATGCAACGCTGTCGATTAAAGAATTTGATATAGAATCCAAAACTAATAAAACAAATGCAATATTGATAATCAAAACAGTACTTTTTGATATTTAACTATATTTCTGATATAATTAATTTAAACCATGAAGGAAGTAAGTATGTTCATATGTATATAAGTGCTCATTTATGCAGGCACTTGTATGTTACTCTTAAATTTTAAACTGCCATATGGGTCTTTGGTAGCATTGTCTGTGTCACTGGTGCCACAGCTGTTTTGTGCTGATAAATACTCCGCCTGAATATGCGCGATGGCTGTAAACATATTTGGAAGAATAATGATTATTATTTTTAATCCAGAAATCTAAATAGTTTATTTAAATTTTATTTATATATGTATATATGAATTATTAGCATATATTACTCACATTTTCGTTCAAAATCGCTTGATATATGTATGGAAAGGACCGACATAAAGAAGCACAAAGCAAAGACATGCAGGCGGATGTAGAGAATGTGTAGGGATGTTATGGCACTTCAAACTCTTCCAATTTAATAGAATGTAGTGCTGTTTTTGTTGATAAAATTAGTTTTGCAATTATAGAAGTAGGATTAAGCAGTTTCAAGGATTGTTCAACAAGATGAAAAGTGCTGATAGTAAGCAGAAATGTTAATTGTGAGTGACAATAGAGTAAATTACATATCTGTATACATATATATTTACAAATCGACAAATATACATACATACAAAAGTATATGGTTAATTTAAGATTATTTTCTTATAAAAGATTGTAAGTACGAATATCTTGATTTTTATACTCTTGTAACATGTTGCAACAGAGCAGCATGGCGAGACGAGTTTTATTCCTAGTGACTGTCTGACGGTGCGTCCGTCTGTGTTGTGAGTAAAAATTGAGATGTCTTTATGAAACTTGGTACACATGTTCCTTTGCACTTAAGGGAGTATTGTAGGTGGGCGTAATCGGAAAATTGGCACGCCCACAATAGCCCTTCACCATGGATCATAATAACTCTGTTCCACATAAGCTAGACCAACCCAACGTTCATATCGAAAAGGTTACGACAACTTTGAAATCATTTGTTTGATGACGAAGTTGGTTCAAATTTTTTGGTTGCTAAATTCTCTAAATTTGTCTGTGTTATTTTATCCTTCAAACAGCTTAAAATATTAATTGTAAAAAATCATAAACTGGTAATATACTTGTTACAGATGTAATGAAGAAGTTTTGCATTTCAATTTCAAATAATTTTTTTTATTTTTTCACAAAAAATTTATATACATACATATACTTTAATTGCCTGATGTCACTTTCAACGAATGACATATAAATAAGTCAAAGCCGTTAAAAAAAAATTGGTAAATTCATAGCGGGAGCGCATTGTTTAAAAAATGAGTATGAAAATCTATTTGTAGACATTTTATTCGTAAAATCAAAGTGGTAAGGGCTGAAACTTTTCAAAAATCACGTTTAAAATTCGAAACGATTATGAAGTGTGCAGTGGGTAATTGTACACAAGGTAGGTAAGGCAAGTTCTGGAATCCGAGTGAAAGTGCCTCGTTTTTTAACTTTTATTAAATTCTCTATCTTCAGAAATGTTGTGGACATTTTTTTCCCATCCAAACCTGATGAAAAATTAGCCTAAGAAAATTCTTTAGAATAGCAAAATTACTCGTTTTTACCTTTATCCAGCAGGAAATATATTTTCCATGTGGGCCATGTAACGGGTCTTGTTTTAAACATGTGGTTTTCAATGAGGCAATACTTTTTTCGGAATTAATCTTTTTAACAGTTGTTACTTGATTTATACTGGTTAGTTTGGTTTGCCATTTTATAATGAATAGACTTACCTTGAAACAACGTTTGCAAATTGTGCAAATTTATTTCCATATTAATAGTTGGATTGGTGCGACTTATCGCGTCAAATATTCGGCCGACATAATCGCTCAGCAAAGTCGGTAATTCGCAATGGCAACCATAGATCGGTTTCGTACCACATTTACTATAGTGGAGAATACGCATCCTCAGAGACGCCGTACAGTGTGTAACGAAGACGCTTTTGTTTCTGTGGAGCAGAGTATCGAAGAAAACCCGAATGAGTTCATCCAATTGGAGTTGTGCCCATTCACTTTATGGAAGAATTTTGGTTTGCGGGCTTACAAAATTCAATTCGTGCAAGAATTGAAGCAGAACGACCATCACCCGAATTGCTGGAAAAAGTGGTGGAAAACTGGGTCTCTCGGCTGTAATTTATTCGAGCCAGCCGCGGCGGACACTTGCCCGAAATCATTTTTGAAATATAATGGCAATTAAGTATATTAGCGTTTTATTTCTTTTTGAAAACCTCATGTCTAAAAAAACACCCTTCACATATAGCGATTACTTCTGAAGCGCATCGACTTTATTTATGTCACCCTTTACCAAAATTCGGATCATGTCTCTATAAGCTTCCATCAAATAATAAATGCATCCTACTCTGCGTTCTTATGTTTTCCTCTTTAATAATTTCCACTTAGCACTTACATTTACTTTCATGTTTGCGCGCACCAAATTCACACAATTGATTTGAAGTGAATAATAATCGAATATTTTCTTGTGAATTCGCTTTTCAGAATACTTATTTGCACTCGGAATTATTTAAAAAAAAAAGTGTGTAAATTATATAGTGAAAGTGAAATATAGAACACTGAATTTCGGATTGAAAGAGGATTTGCTTGAAATTCATTCGAAAATGCATTACAGAACCTACCTGTATATAACAATTTTTTATGAAAAATTTAAACTACCTGAAAACTCAATTTTTTGTTTTGCTTCAAATAAGTTCATACAATAAATTTTTTGAGATTTCCCAAAAACTAAAATTTATAAAAAGCTGTGGATTAACTTTTACGACACAGATTCAAGATTTTGCTCAAATTGTTTACAAGAGGATGATTTCGAAGTAGATATCCAATTCAAATTGGGTAAGGTTCACATACATAGTTGTGTTTAAGTATTGCACTTAATGTATTGTACAATGAAGTAGTAAGTGTTAATTATGTTTTACATCAATAATCATAAGGAGAAAAAGAGGTCTTCTTGACCAACAGGAATTCAAATATCGTCCTCGTCCCTATATCATAAGGCAATGTTGAAGGATTTTCAGGTGACCTTTTACACGTGTATAAGCTTCAGTACGGTAGTTATTATCAAGTATGCATTACTTCGTTTGATCTAGGTATACTATTACAAAAACTCCACCTGGAAATTCTTATGGGACCAAATACTGAGGACGAGTTATTGGATCTCAAATTCGACGGAGCATTTGACGGAATACATTCCATATGTATGAAAAAAATTCAATCTGGTTGAGTGTTCAGAGAATACAAAATATACATCGGTTAATCACTCAAGTAAGGAAGAGCTAAGTTCGAGTGTAACCGAACATTTTATACTCCTGCAACTTACAAGGACAAAAGTCGGGGACTTACTTTCAGGCGTTGGCAAAACTTTGTATTAACACTAAGGGGAGCTAAAGGAAGTATTGATCGGTTCTACCCATTTTGACATACGGGCAGATTGACTGATATTTTCAGCAAAATGTTCGCTTTAGCAACTGTGGTCCACATATTCGGTATCTGGGGGCTTGAACAGTTGTAGTCTGATTTTGATAAGTTTTAGTGATAAGGTGGTCTATTTTAAGCGCACTATTCGGGCAAAGTCTTATCTCGATACATTCATTGGTGAGTGATTTGCAAACTGGAAAGTGAGAGAATCAGATGGAATTTAATATTGTGTTATATAGGAAGTAGGCGTGGTTATAGCTCGATTTCGCTTTCGCTGTTGGTTTTCACCTAAATATGGGCGGTGCCACGCCCATATCAAAAATTTGACACTGGCTTCTATGACGCCTTCTCATACCGTTTAGTTATTTTTCTTTATAGGGTTTCGTTTAATGGCGTTATGGAGCATAGCAGTCTAATAACTCGTCCTTTTTTTTGTCAAGGAACCTGTGTACCAAGTTTCTTTACGATATCTGAATTTTTATTTAAGTTACATAAGATTCGTCTCGACATCATTATTATGTATATAAATATATATGATACAAACAACCGTTAGGTGAACAAAACTATTATACTTGTAGCAACATGTTGCAAGAGTTCCAATGTCACGGTTCTTATACCATTGTGTCCTATGAACGTTTTTTCGAGGCACTATCAGCTCTCTATTGCACCAAGTGTCGAAATAGCAAAATTGAAAATAATTTTCATTGACACCATAGTGAATATGGGATTGAAATCTTAATTTACCAAAATTCTAATATGCACCCACATACTTGTAAGTGTACCTTATTAATAACATTCGATATTCAAACCTACTAACCACTATTGGAACCAGTAAGGAAGGGCTAAGTTCGGATGTAACCGAACATTTTATACTCTCGCAAAGTCAAATGGTATACTCGTTTTGATTGATTGATTGACATTTTCGTTAGAAGGTCAACTATAGGCACTGGGGTCGACATATTTAGTACTTAGGGGCTTGACAATTTTTGGTTCAATGTAGATAATTTTTGGTTACAAGGTGGCATACTTTAAACGTATTATTCACGCAAAGTTTTACGCCGATATAATCATTGTTCCTTGATATGCATAGTGGAAAGTGAAAGAATCAAATGGAATTGAAAATGGTGTTATATGGAAAATAGGCGTGGTTGTAGTCCGATTTGGCACATTTTCGCACATTGAAAAAAACGTTATGCACCGAATTCGGTTGAAATATATTTATATGGGTTTTTACCTAAAAGTGGGCGGTGCCACGCCCACTGACTAATTTTGAACGCGGTTCTTATAAAGTCATCTCATACCATCCCAGAGATAAAATTTAATGTCTCTGGCTTGTTTAGTGATTGATTTATCACGCTTTTAGTAGTTTTTAACAGTACCGTTATATGGGGAGTGGCCGGGGTTGTCACCCGATTTTCACACCGTCGATATAGATGCTAAAAGAATTTGTTCTCATTGAATTTGGTTATTATAGCTTCAGTGGTATAGGAGATATGCACATTCAACTTATTAGGGGGCGGGACCGTGCCCACTTAAAAAAAATTATCTTTAGATGCCCCTCTCCAATGTGATCCTGTATATCAAATAAGAGTCTTGTATTTTGTTGTGGAGCTTAGTTATGGCAATTTATTTGTTTTTGATTAATGACGTTTTGTGGGCGGGGCAGTGGTCCGATTATGCCCATCTGGTATACCAACCGTCTTACGGTACCAAGAAACATGTGTACCAAGTTTCATAAAGATATCTCAATTTTTACTCAAGTTACAGCTTGCACAGACGGACGGACAGACAGTCACCCAGATTTCAACTCGTTTCTCCATCCTGATCATTTATATATTCATAACCCTATATCTAACTCGATTAGTTTTAGGTGATACAAAAAACCGTTAGGTCAACAAAACTATTATATTCTGTACAAGTTGCGAGATTATACAAATTATGAGTTCTGGAGGCTGTTTTCGGCGATGAATTTTACAATTTCGGAATTAATGGGAAGCCGAACGGCATCAAAACCTGCGGTTTCGTCAGGTGAAGTCGAATATTTCGAATGTTTCTTCGCCTTTGGTATATACCAGTGACTCCATGATTCGATAGTCTCAAAACGGAGCAAAAACTCATTCGAATTACACTTACCAGCGTCAAATGATTTAACGGCTGCTCTTGTTGTCCGGAAGGAACAAATATGGTGCTCATCACATCTACAGCTTTGCCATGAATCATGTTTAATGCATTTTTTTTTAGATACCTACTATCTTAGCTATATGAGATATTAGACTCTTGTCACGTTATCCCTGTGTGGCTCTTCAAAAACAGACGTGCGATTACGTTGACACTTGTTGGTAGTCGGCATCGAAGGAAAATAATCACCGAACCCAGCATCCAAACGTTCTTTGATTTTATTGCTTATGTCCTCCCACAAAAACAATGGAATCACCGATCGATAATTCTCTTTTTAAATTTTTTAATTCCGTAAGTGGTCAAAAATAAAACTACGACTTCGATTCTGCTGAAATTTTGACAGTAATTGTACTAAATGTACTAGAGAATAGTAAATTTCTCTTACTTTAATGGCATGGTCATTATTGATTCACATTCGTAGTGTTTGAATGTAAGTAATTAATAATATTACATTAATGTTGATGGTTTAGACAAAATATATTATATATAGAGGATTATCGAAATTGGTTCCAGTTATTTTCGGTCTTCCAGTAATCTAGGTTTTGACAGAATGACTTTTCCATGCGTTTGATATTGATACGAAATCCCATTGTTTATTGCAAAATATGTTCTGTCTGTTGATTTTGTTAAAAGTCTTAAATGAACCCGTTTCAGAGTGCGTCAAACATTTCAGTAATTAATTTTTTCGAGTACAAAAGGTATAGTAATCGTTTTTTAATGTAATAGTTATTTTTTCTTTGTTTATGGTACTCAAATTTTACAGATATCCAAACTTTAAAAGTTATTACAACTCTTGTTTAAATAAAAAATAAGAAACTCACTGTCGCATAATATGTACAGAGATTACCTAAAATTATTGTTTATGGACCAGGCATAATCTAAAGAGAGTCGTATAGCAATTTTCTTTTATTTAATAAATGGAACAGTTGTAAGTAATAATATGTTTTTTGCTGAGGTTCTTAGTACATTATTATTGATTTGAAATATTATGGTGCTTCTGTTTTTCACATCAAATAACATATTTTACTAAGCACAAAACATTGAATAAATGTAAGTGTAAATTTACCTTTTTGCAGGTCCATTTCGTCCATGTCAGAATTTTTGATTTGCTGAAGTTTTTCACGAAATTTCTTTGTGATTTGTTTACGCTGATAGTCCGCCTCTATTTCCTGTTTGGTGCGTGGTATTCGAAATCGAATACAGCAGCAGACCATAATTACTAAATGGATATGAAAGATATATTTATTATATATTTTCGAGTTCAATATAAGTGAAATATTAAAAAAAGTAATAAATGAATACTCGTCATTATATTTTAGTAACATTTCAAATAAAAAATAATAATATATTATTTGTTTAAGATTCGGCGATTTTATTTAAGACTAGCAAATAGTCAGTGGAGTTCTCGAAAAGGCCCGTATTTTCCAGAATGTCGAGACGATGTTGTCTAATGAAGCTATTGACCTCAGACATGTTTACGTTGCAAATTTTTAGAACCTGTCTGTCATACAACTTATTGAATGCCATCAATGCTCGAAAATTAGGAAGATTTTTCCCAAATATTTGTATCGCTTTGAGAATGTTTTGCACTTTACCCGTTTTTGTTTCAAGTGGTGAACGTTCGTTTAGTGCTTTAGCAAGGATCAAATACTTTCATCAATCATGCTCGCCACGGGGCAAGATTCCAGAACAAGCTATACTGTGCCTAGAGGCCTCAAAATGATCTTTATTTCATTAATTAGATCGATAAATAAATGTTTGAATGAGATCGATAAATAAATGTTTGAATGAGATGATTCTGTTTTCTTATTAACTGTCAAGTCTTGCTAACCCTATATTCATATATTTCGGTATAATCTGAAAAAATATTTCTGAATAGTATTTGTATGGATATAAATTAGACTTAGTATAGATATAAATAAAAATCGATTTCTCATATAGGTAAAATGTAATTTTTGTACAACAAAACAAGATAAATTACATATTTCTAAAATTGTACTTTCGATGATTAAAAATGTTATATTTATTGAGCTATACTATGACTTAGGTACAAAATACTACAACCTTGATTAATGACTTTAGATATGATTAAATAAAACTAATTAAAGTATTTTCTGCATTATTATACCCTGAGCAACAACAGAAACAGGAAACGTCGGAGCGCTTATAATATATATATACAAGGTACAATTCAAAAGTTCCAGGACGCGGCTTCTAGTGGCGCCATCTGTCTGAAATTGTTATCTCTCAATTGTGTATTCTTCAGTGTTTTCGTATAAAATTTATATAACAGTTGAGGTATTGCGCTACATGTGACATTACATTTGTAGTGTCGGTCGGAAAATGAGCATCGAACAAAGAGCCAACATTAGGTAGGTAGGTAGAGTGGCTGTCCAACGACGCACCTAGGCCTATAGGAGGCCCATTGTGATACCACCGGGACTAATGTTCCCTCTCTCTATCGTCTCCTCTCTGAACCAACCTGTGCTCCTGATGAAGTTCATCAGTACAAATAATTTTATATTAGCAACTTCTGATACGTCGTCAAGGAATCCACGACCGATAGTTGCGATTCTTTTCCTATATAGAGCTTTACGTTCGCATATGCTTTACAGTCTCCTTTTCTTCTACTTTTTGACAGCTTCTGCAATAATCGTTGTATGGTACACCTAGTCTACTGGCATGTCTACCAATTAGACAGTGACCTGTTAGTACTCCTATCAGAGTTCTTATATTATTCCTTTTAAATTTTAGTAGTCGGTTTGTGCGACTCACGCTCCATTCCTGCGACGTTAGTCTGCTGGTTGAGCAGGTTATTGATTGTCTCCACCGAGACTCAGCTATATTTATAGCATGTTCGCTGATTAAGTGTTTGCAAGTTGCCAGAGGCATGAAAATACCCTCTTTTTCAGGGGTTAGCCAACATTAAGTTTTGTTTTAAACTTGGTAAAACTTTTACCAAAACTCATCAAATGATGAAACAAGTTTATGGCGATGATTGTCTATCCCGTAGCCATTTTCACGAGTGGATTAAACGTTTTCAAAGTGGTCGTGAGGACATAAATGAGAAATGAGTCGAAACCCAAAAAATCGCGCCTGGAGAATTCAAAAGTGAAGACAATGCTGATTTGTTTTTATGATTCCAAGGGTATTGTCTAGAAAAAATTTGTTCCACCCGTCCAAAATGTTAATGCGGTATGGTACCTTGGAATTTTGAAGCGTTTGGTAGCACGTATTCGTCGCATTCGGCCCGAATATCGCGAAGATGGAAGTTGGCCGATTATTTGACCAAAAATCAAATTTCAACAATCAACCACTCCCCGTGTTCACCTGATATGGCACCGTGCGACTTCTACCCTTTCGGAAAACTACATTTGGCCATGAAAGTAAACCGCTATGCTGACGTTGATGCCATCCAAAAGGCGACGACCGCCATCCTCAACGCTATACCGACAAATGACCTAAAAAAGTTATTCGATAACCTTCTTGAACGTGCAAAACGTTGTATTCAGGCGGAAGGAGACTATTTTGAAGGCGACCAATACGTTTTTCAAAAAAACAACAAATAATATTCGTTTTTTAATAAAAGTCCTGAAACTTTTGAATTGCACCTTGTAGAAATGTTAGCATGACGAACTTAGTCGATTTAGCCATGTCCATCTGTCCATCCACCTATCTGTATATACGCAAACTAGTCCCTCAGTTTTTGAGATATCGATCTGAAATTTAGGACACATCCTTTCTTCCCAAAGAAGCTGTTCATTTGTAGGAACCACCGGTATCGGACCACTATAGCATATAGCTGCCATACAAACTGAACGATCGGAATAAAGTTCTTGTAAGAAATTTTAACAAAATTAATTTTATGTTGAGGATTATTTTGAGCACAGCGATAAACTAACTAATTCTAGAAAATTTACTTCTATATGGCCCCTCTTCCTTCCCTTATGTATTTCCATGTTTAAAAACCCTTCCAATTTTTTTTTAACTTCCCGCTAAGAAAATTGAAAATTTTCTAAAAATCGGGAAGATATTGGTTTCACCCCATTTTGCAAAAATCGAGTTCTCAACAGATCTCGACGTTCTAAGGCTCGAGGAAGCTTCACCGAACATTTCTACGATGATGTCCGTATGGCTGTAGGTATGTGTGGATGTATGTGTGTGTGTGTGTGGATGTATGTGAACCTCTTATAACTTTTAAACCGCTCAACCGATTTGAACAAACTAAACGGCATTCATTACACTTGAATTTCGTGTAAGTAAAAATAAATTTCTTGACTTGACCGATCGATACCAAAAACTAATCAGTTCTAAACCTTGAAGAAACACATCGTTTGCCGCAAACCGGGTCGAAATCGGTTGATTTACTTGCGAGATATCGAAAACAAAAAATTTAAAAACGAGACATCGTTAACGAAAGAAATCACCAAAATTGATTAGTCTTTGAGAAATTTGGGAAATAGTGTTATATTAAACTCCCATTAAACTTTTGAGCTCGAAGAGATATTGGCATGATTAATTATTTTATTACATCTCATAACCAACCGGCATAAATATAAGATACGTTTACACATTACAACTATGTATGTTCTGGGAGTCAGTAGAAATTACTTTTGGCTGTTATTGATATATTAGTTCTTTAATTTCTAAAATTATTTTAAATGCTGATATTCAGTATTTACTCGTAAACCATAAACTCAACTAAATTTCTTTGGTAGAATTGTAATGCGACGTTGTTGGTCGTGATGGTCATGATGTCTTTAAAATTTTGGAAATTTGATTTAATGTTACAAATCTTTTATAATGCCACTAAATTTTCTTAGACCTCTCCATTTTGTGGTTTCTTTCTTTACGACCTTTATCTTGCATTCATTTACGGTAAATATCACACAGGTGGCAACAAAATTAAATCGTTATTTTAAATCATATGAGTATTATACTGAACAATTATTTCAAATATTTAAAACAATTAAGCCATCCTTTTGGTGGCGCACTGTGTACTGCGAGTGTGACGGAATAGTCTCTTGATTGTAACTGGAAGGTCCTCCTTAAAATTGCCTTGAAATAACCAAATTTCAACAGTTAATTTTCGTTTAACGGTTAGGTTAACGTAGATACCTTTTTTGCAGAGCATTCAATTTCCTACACAATCTATAAAACCAGATCTATTTTTTAAGTAGTTGGAAGCGAAATTTGAATTTTTTGAATCTGATAGTAAGAAAAAATAGAAAGCTGTAAGGAGCAGGACCTATTTTGTCTAAGAACCTATTATTCAGAGTACCAAGTAAAAAACATATTCGTTTTTGTTTTACTCACCCTAATGTACATTCGAATCAGAAACGGCACCACTTCGCTTGAAAAAACAGAAAGTTCAATTGTGAGGAGGAAGATGAGCCAATTCGCGATGCTAAGAAAATTTTAAAATTATTTTCTACTTTATCATTATTGATACTAAATTATCTTCACACAGGCAACAGATTATGCAACGAAGTACAAGCCATTTGCAGAAAAATTGCTCACCAATGTACATTTGAAATTATATTGGTTCAAACGAATTAATATATATCGCTCTAAATTTATTTTCGACAATACAAATGGAGAGCGCAGTTTCTCTGATTGAACTTTATCAAAACCTATCAACGCTCTACATTGTGTCAAGAAAGACTGGCAGGTTTGGCAACATTATCAATTGAAAATGAAATGGCACAGACTCTTAACAATTAAACAGTTGTGTGTGATTTTCCCCATCTTAAAGGCACGTAAATATTTAAATAATTGACTTTATTTGTTGTACTACTACTAATATTAATATTTTAAAAATCATCTGAGAACTTTGGTTTACGAGTGTTTTCTATTTTTAAATTACCTGAATAGTTTTCAAAAGTAAAAAATTTTGTTTTTAAGGCAAAATAGGCTTAGAAGGGGCGCAAAATTTGATATTTGCCTAGGACGTTAAATTGTCTCGAGCCGGCTCTGGTGCGCTACATAATTTCGTTACTTCCGATCCCCTAAAAAAGTTTCAATTTGATGATTATATTAATTTTTTAGATTATTCACACGAAACTTGGGTTCTACAAGCATTATCTTTTATGACATGCACCTGCCGGCGTTTTAATACGTCCACCCTGAGTGAAGTTAGTCTGAAATATTTTCTGTTTTCCACTATTGTATATCTTGCGGTGGCTTACTCATCATAGGAAACAAGGTTTTTTGAAACATCTTATTTGTTACTGTAAATGTATCAAAAATATTTAATTTTCAAGAGGGGTAAAGAAGTTCGTAATCTATTTTTGGGTCAGAAAATGTAAGTGCATTCCTAAGTATTCGTTGCCAACTGTTTGTATTTTTAGAGAATTCTTGATTTCTTTGTATTATTTAAAAGCACGGTTTTAAAGCTATTATACCTTCTTATGTACCTATAAATTTCAATAAACCCACTATTAAATTTCCATTCGTTTTATGTTTACATCTCATCTCATCTCATACAAATAAAAATATACATACTGTATTTATGTAGATATACGAGTATGTATGTATGTATGGAGATGCCTTAAACACCTACATATACTTAATGATATTCCCAGACAAATCGCAATTATGTGCCAAACACGAAAGCCGCCAATAGTAACTGTTTCCAGCCATACAGGTTCAGGATCTTCTTCCACGTTCATTTCCAATATATGCAAGTAGATTGAGTCGATTTGACTGATTTTAGTGATATTTCTCAAAGTATTGATTTTCGAGGGTTTAAACACGTACACGATTTTATTTGGATACTCAATGTTTTAAATACTACTTTACGATCTACATGTATATATTTACGATTTAGAATAATTTTAAGATTCTTCGGAGGAAGCGCTACGTGCAAAAGTTAAAGGAATACTGAATTTCGAATATTCTTAACGGTAGACTTTGCCGAGCTCCATGTATGGGTGCAGTATATTAAATACAGGGTGGTGATATTAAGTTGCGTTAATTATGAGTAACTCTAAAAAAATGCTAACTGTCTTCGATTTTCCATTTATCTTGCTCGCTATGTTTGAGTTCTCCTCTCTTGTTAAAAGATTTACATGTGAAAGCAACAAGGAAGTCATATCGTCGTCTTTAATTATACACCAGAGTATTCATGCTCATTAAAGTGATATAACTTATTGATGTTCTATTTCTATTTGATCATACCTGCCTTTCGACTCTGGGCAGTAGTTTTTTCGATTTGCCACTCTTCGAATCGGAGACTACTACAGCTACTTTCACCTAAGTGACATGTCGTATCACCATGTATACACCCACCGCTTTCAGGTCATAAAGCAGGTAGCATAGTGCGTTGATATTGATATGATATAGCGGTCGATCTACATATGTATGCATGTGAAGCAGTTTATTATGTGTTCGTACACTCATAAGTTAGGATGGTGAATGCTAAGTTGTGGCAAAATAGAAAAAGGCCAGCAAGTGACACTAGAATTTGTGAACTGGGAGTGCCACAGCAAGCGAATTTATTTTCACCGCCATTCTTGAGCTTTCACTTTCCCTTGTTGTTGTTTTCTCAATATTTTTTTATTTAATACGACACGGTGGCGCTGACTTTGCATACCTTATGTAGGCGGCCTGATGATGACCTGAAACGTGTGCATGTAGGCGAGGCTGCCGGTACGTTGTTGATATGTGTCTCAGCGACCATTCACTCTCTTCCCCGTCACTTCTATTGTTCTCTGTACATAAACGCTCTGTGAATGCCGCGATAAATGTTGGTACACAGTAAAAGGACATTAGCTAATGACGAGTTAAAATTATAACACCAGCCGAAAGATCTTTTCCAAAATATCATTTACTTGTTAAATAAGTTTTAAGCTAACTCATGAAAATATTCTCAAAATCAATGTAACTTATAATAGCGAATACAGTTTACCCCTAATACATATACTCTACTCCTATATTTTTTAACAATACATAGTTCTAAGAGAATTCAATTACATTTTCACATATTGTTGTCTAATACTACAGATAAATTTTCAAATGTAAGATTCCTTATGACTAAAGACACTGTCTTTTCTGTTTTTCCTGTTTTTATGAGTTCATATCGCTATATTAAGCTTTATCTCACTATCGGCATTGAGAAACGCCAGTGTTTGTCAAAATTGGATCAAAAATATAAGCCTGGGAAATATAGAAAACGATCTTTCGAGGAACCAAAGGTTAGAAGCTTTGGACTAAACTTTAGATAATTAGGAACTGTTACTTCAGCAGAAATATATATTTGTAGAACATAAAAAATCATTGGGCTAGTCTGTTTTCAATGAAATAACTATATTCTGATTCTATCCTGCAACTTTTCAGGTAAGAAATACACTTAAATTTGATTAAAATTTTACTTAGTGGTGTTGACTCATCGTTATACTGTCAAATTTATTTCATTCTGTCATATTTGGGGAACAAATAGTATATATATATAATTTAGTAATTTTAGACCCATATTTTTCAAGCTAAACAAAATAGTAGATAGAACTTGATATCGATGGATGTCACTTTATTACAAGTATGTCTGCCCGCGAATGCGTGAAAAAGAGCACGACGGAAACTGGTTTGAAATAGAAATCAAAACTATTCCATATCTGCAAAAAAAAAACCTCGAGCGATGTTGCATTCAAAAAAGTAGTAAAATAATTGTAAAGTGAAATAGAAATATTTATTTATATTGGCAGGCCGCCGATTGAAGAGGCGCGAGAAACAATAGGCAACTTAAAAGACCGATGACCCATAAGGGTCCTGCAAGAATATTGTACATGAGAAAGCTGTCTGATGGTGTCGCCTAACAAACGCAATTGTCCAAGCACTGCACAGTAATGTTAATCGCTGTATTTATTCACAATCCGTAAAAGCTTCTTCGTCCTTTCGTGACCGTTGATGAAACATGAATCCACTAGTATACAACAGAGGCCAAGGAACAGTCTAAACAGTGGACTACACGAAGAAGGCGAAGACTTTAATATCGGCAGGTATTAGGGTGGTCCAAAAAAACTTTTAATTTTTTTTTCTTAGTTACCATAAAAATCTCATCCGAAAGGATGAAAAAAAAATTCTGGTAAAGTTTGAGCTCTTAATATTAATATTAAGATATTTCCTCATTGATATTTTCGATTTCCCATATAAATAACACATATTCTTATAGGAAATTTACCGATCTACAAAAAAGGCCTGAACTTTTTTTTGGTTGAGTCAACGTATTTCAAGTTATTCGTAGTTTTTTATGATTTTATGTTGGACCGGCTCGCCACTGCTAATTTGGCCGAAGTAATCTAGGAACTGTTGCCTCATCCATCGTATTCACCCCAATTGGAATGAGTAGTTTATCGCCGCCAAGTAGGCTTACTTGACACACTTTCAGAATACATATTTTACAGACGGGTCAAAGAAGTTGGAGCATTGCAGGGTTAAGTGTATTGAGCTAAATGGGAACTCTATTAATAAATAATCCGCCATTTTTTATTGTTGCATATGTAATAAAAAATTCCCTGTTCCCTATCATATTTTTAAATTTATCTGAATGAACTTGCACAATAACAACTTTTTACTTCATTTGAATTACTCCAGTCACATATACATACACAAATATTTGTGCAGAATATGTTGTAACGTGATACACTGTGCAGTGGCAGGTCATTACTTGCAGCACAGCTGAAAATGGGCCACTCCCTGCTGATGGTATTAATTTGTTTTGTTTTGCTCGGACGGATATGCTGAATCAAAAACGTGCGATTACGTGGATACTTTTATATGCAACTATACACATAGTACGTACTAAAATATATAACACATGTATAGAAACATTTTGTTAAGTAAAAATTATGAAAATAGTTGGCATAACTTTAAGATAACAAAGCAAAAAAGTTGATTATGGTAAAGGGCCAGCGCATAGCGTCGTCTTTACTGCGTGATGAACACTTACTATAGCATGTATACATAGTTATTGTTGTTGTCGCTCATCTATTGGCGTGCAGCTCACCGGTTGCGTCTGCTATTCACGTTGGCTTGACCACTGCTAACTATGGCCTTTTTGTGGGTTTACGCTTAAGTAAACAAGCATTTGCATTCAATCTAATCTAATCTAAAAAACCAACGGAGATAGATATGGAGTTATTACATATGTATATAGACACAAAGTGATCGGAATGTCGAGACGAATTTAGTTCCGGATGTCTGTCTGTATGTCTCTCCGTGCAAGTAAAAATGTATATATATTAATAAAACTTAGAGCACTCTGAATAGGTTGCTTTTGAAAATTCGGAGCATTGCCACGACCACAAAATGCCATTAAATAAAAATATATATATAATCGTAAATGCTATATTATACTTATATATCATCAAGGTATATATGATAGATATAATGTACATATACATATGTTTTGCAACCTAATAAAGCTATATCAACTGGAATTTCTAGGACACTCTTATATTTAAATTAGAAAATGGGCGAAATCGGACAAAACTCACGCCTATTATCCATACAATACAATTTTATACTCCATCTGATATCTATATCTTTTGACCCTTTCAGTTATCGAAATTAGTGCAGTACTTCTTTTCAAAAAGATATACTGCTGAAAATAGATGAAAGCAAACCATGAATTATACCATTTCCCATATAATACTATTTATATAATAATTTTTGTTATTCCAGGTAGTGAAAACGGGGTTTCAAGCATACTGCAGTAGAATTCCAAACAAATACAATCAGTCCAGGCTCCTACTCCTATAGTGATTTTCGACTTTCCGGTTGACGTTATACTATATTTTAGATCAATATGATGTTTTAATGAAATTAAGTAGCTACATTCTCACAGCAGGAAATAAAACAAAACGATTTAAACATGTTCTTAGCCTTTCCTTGTTGATATTTAAGTATAATTTTCAGTTCTTTTAAAGTAATCCCCTGTATGTAGTATCCGTACACACCTAAAAAAAAATTAGTAATAACGTAATTTCAAAATCGGTCCAAAGCATATCTGTTCATCCAATTGACTAGAAAATTCAGTTAATTCATACCATATTTGTCATTCGCTTCGGTCAGTGTACACCAAACATTTAACAGCTCAGCCGGATCAATTGTTAGGCCAACTATGTATTACTTTTCGTAATCGGAGATGGCTAAGCTTCGTGATGTAGACAGAGTTTTACTTTGACCTCTTTTGGTTCAAGTATTAAAATATTTCTCTAACGAAGAAATCTAGTAAGACAAGTTTAGGTTTAGGTTCTTTAAGAAAATTTGAATGAATTATACTGAGTAACTCATTTAACTTTAGCTTTAATAATATATATTTTAAATGTTATGAAATATTTTCTATACTTAAATTTTTAGAATTTGGAAAAGTTCAACGCTTGATTCGCCTGATCCCAGACTCCCTTACTTGTCCACTTTAATATTATTCCTTTTGTATTTTTGACCCTCAACTGTTATCTGTTGTTTCTATATTTAATAGGATTCTTTCTATTTCGGGCAAAATGCGTAAATATATAACTCTTAGACAATATCCTCAAAAGAACAAAAATATATAAAGAATGATAAAAATTGAGATTACCAAAGATTCGTTCTGCTACTTTTTGTTCTTTCAAAAGAAAGTTTTGTTTATAATTAATCTTATTTTTATGATTTTTGATAAATATGTTTACATACATATATCAAAGTAATTATATTTTTTTAGTAATTTACCATAACTCCCAAGCAATTTTTGCGAATGAAAGTTTTGGGTAAACATTTGAAACTTGAATTTAATCTTTCCTTCCTGGCCACCTCATAGCATTCGTAATTCAACTTTAGCCGTTTCCGGTTCCTTTGCGCACTGAGAAGTATTTACATCCACAACAAAGAATCGGTTTCCTTATAAATATTTGAGAACAAGAAGAGCATTCATTCATAAAGCTGTTGAAATAATTTTCCTTAAACTATTTATGGTGGCGGCATTGAGCGGCAAGTGAGTTTGATTCATTTTGGTGAATTCTCAACGATTTGCGGTAGGTGGTGTATTCAAACACGCCTTCATTCATTCATCGTGCCAAATAGTTAGGGCATGACGAGAGACGATTTGAGTTTAGTTGCATTTATGGCGAGTACTTTCTACTTTTAACCAGTTTTTTGCAAAATATCCCTCGATGCAGCACTCCACCACGAAACGAATAGGTGGAAACACGAAAAGTTAAGGTTCACTGCTGCTTGCGAGTGTCTGTTTGTCTGTCCCAAAGAATGCAGAAAATTTTGTCGAGCACATAATAAGGCACAGGAATACTAAATAAATATAGAAAAAAACTGTGCATTTTCCAATTTACATAAATTTAATCAACCGCAGGTCTAACAATTATAATGCTGTGCAAATATATAGTTGAAAGTCTGTTTATGTATGTATATAAACGCCATATATCGGTTAATAGAAAAAATAATATATAAATAATAAGTGTGTGTATAAGTGATAAACCATATAAAAGTATGTGCACAAGGGCTTACAAAATATCAATATGCTGATTAAGTAAGTTTACCTAAAGAAAGCATGTTAAGATATGTAAAGGATTCATCAAAAAAGTTAGTGATGAAAATTTTCAATTTCATGGCAATGAGTGCGCCTGCTGCTTTGGTTTATGTTCGTGAATGAGCGAACGCGAGTACGACGCGAACTACACAAACGTAGCTACAAACACGCATGCCAATACGAGGCGAGGGGTGTGCAGGGTGCGAATGTACCGTGGCGTTCTTTGTACCATTGGAGCGTTCTGGTTTAGTGTAGTAGCACACTTTTAGGCATTGTAGCGTGGTGGCAGAGTGGAATTGTAGGGTCGTGTGTGTGCCATCAAAAGCGGAAAAGTGTAAAGTGTACCACAGAAGAAAGACAGTGAAGTGAACGCGGTGGCATGTAAAAAGCATGAACGAATGCAGAGTCAGAGTATTAGCGAAGTCGTAAGAGCATAAAAGAGAAGAAAGAAGGCTAGTGAAACGTGATAGAATCGGCGGAGGTGGAAAACAACGAAAGGAGGCCAGTAAGTGATTTATTTTTTCTTCTTCTTCAATAAATAGTGCATTAAAATAAAATTTCAAAATGTAAACGACGAGAAAAAATGCAAACAGCAAAATTTGTAACGGTTAAAAAATTTTGCAAATCATTTTGTGAACTCACAACAACAATCAAATGTAGTGGTTTTAGTTGAGAAGCGTGTGTGCAAAAATACGGACTACATGTCAGCGAGTAAAATTTTTTAATGTGCCACTGCCACGGCTACTACTACATACATACTTACATACTTATATGAATAAATATATTGTACGTGCAACCAAGCAACTAATCAACCAATCGTTAACCAAAAGTCAAATCAATCCTGCATTGTTAAATGCTGCTAATTTTCTCATGAACAGTTTTCGCACAAATGCAATTTATTCGGTATTAATAATTCGTCTTATTGTGGTTTAAAGCTCGAGTTTCGCTTTTCATCAAATAATAACGTATGTAATACAACGTACGTACATATATCAAGGATGGAGTATTCAAATGTGTGCTACAAAATGCAGGCAATCATTTCAACAGAGCAGCTCAAGCAACAGCACTCAATACGACAGCCCTCTGGAGCGACCACCACCCACTCGTCCTCGTCGCCTACACCCATTTTCACTTCGTCCAATTCAGGCAATTTGTGATCTAAAACTACGCTGTTTGAAAAAATGAGGAAAAAGTAAGATTTGCATGCCTATGCTAGTAAAAGAACTGCGGAAAGTAATGCCTTGAAGTCCAAGAATTTAAAAAGCCTCGAACAAAAAGTAATCAATGTTCGTAGTAACCAAATATTCTGTGCTATCCCCAATATTTTGTTATATATTTTTTATCATATTGTGATTTCGTGGCCTCTAACCTTGTGTCCTAATATGGCTTTGTAGTAGTCGGCTTAAATTCGTCTTCATTTATTTCGATTTTAATGTTTGCATGGATAGTGTTGTGGAGCAAACCGCAACATTTTGTTATGTCACACCCGGATGTGTGAGGTTAGTGCTTGAAACAAATATTTCACTGCGCGATTGCACAAACACAAATATAAAGACACGGAAGACTGTGGAAACACAAAAAAGCAGATTATATCATGACACATAGTAGCTGCAATTTTTAAGTAATTGAAAACACATTTTTTTTTGATTCTTATAATGGATTTTCATATTGGCTTTACTGTCTACCTTAAAATATACTTTCCTCATCTCATTAAAGTTTTGATTTCATGTCATGTTCCACGTTAATAGTATAGGGGAAAAGTAAAATGATTTAGGCACTGTTTAAATTGAAAAAAATAGCTTGTTAACGTTGGATAAATTTTTATGGCAAAAACTGAAACTTCAGGGGACGTTTGCAAAAAAAATCAACTTGGTAAATAACGGCCACCTTAATATGTATGTACATATGAATTTTAAATCTTTTTCTACTTTACCATAAAATGTAAAACCAAAAAAGAAGATCCAATAGCTAAAATGAGAAGTTAACGAATTAAACTGACTTGTTTCAATGTTTTCCAGTATAAAGTAGAAGCACATCAACAAAGTATGGGTACAAATTTAGCTGCTTCATTTACTACCATGTAATTACCCTGTTGACTTTTGTCTAAATACCTGTGATAGTTTGCTTGCATACAGTTGCATATTCATTAAAACTTAAATGCTATTTGTATAGTGCACGTCAAAAATCCTTCCTAATTCAGATATATATGTATATATGTATACATATGTATGTAATTGGGTACTAAATAGCTATTTTGACACTAGACATCTCGATTTGTAGATACATAAGTATGTACACATAATTTAATATATAATATATTTGTGAATATGTATATTAAAAGCTTTAAGTTTAAAATTTTTATTCACAATGTTTAATGACTAAATTTTTAAAATATTTTGTTAATACAAATTTAATTGAATCTGAATTCAGTTACGCGTGCCACGTCGGTAATACCCTTTAGTTATGTTTAATGAATTTAACAAAAAAAAAATATCGTCATTGATAAATATCTTAGTTATTGGGAATCATTTCAAAAATCTAATTGATTCGTACACATGTTCATGTAAAATCAATGTGCGTGTTAATAAACTTATTCTAAATTACTTCCAATTTGAATTGTACACGTTCATTGCAGATTACTGTATCAGCAACTATAGCGAATTTCATAATTACTCGTTGGTTAAGTGCACGTTGGAACAGTATCGTTGACGTACTCCGCAACGAGTATCAAGAAATAACAGCAAAGAAGAACATGTAAAAAAGAACTTGCGAATTTTCAGAACTGTCAAATACTATGTCATTTGGTCGAGAAAAAATCTTAAAGTGCTAGTTTTCCACTCGATTTGGCAAAAGAAAAATAAATTCACTTTTATATATGAGGGAATTACGTACAAGTGAGAGGTAGTGGTTCTATCAAACGATTTATTTTGAATACAGCGAAAAAATCTTAAAACGCGAAACAAGTATCGTTGACTGCATATCGGTATGTTGATTTGTACAGGTGTGTGTACGTGGCGTGCGGTGACCGCGTACTGTTATGTCAATAATTTAAAAAAAATCAAAGAATTATGAGCATAGTATTATTATAATGAGCTACATATATTTGGTGAATACTTGAAAATTGTCATTTGATGCCTTGTTCGTACCATTTCAAAGTGAAAGGTTTGAAGAAATTTTTTTTATAAAAGAATTCGAATATTTACGTATTTGTTTTTCCTTGTTTTCCGAAATTTCAAATTGAAAATTCCAGGAACAACATATTTTAAAGTATTCATTTGAAGAAATTGATTTTTTTTTTATACAGTTTGCCTGTTGTGTTTGTCTGCTGTCATTGCCGTACTCCATGCAAGTATATGTATGTTTGTGCATAACCAAATGTACGAATATGTATAGATATTTATCGAAACTCCTCCAAGGAGCCGGTCTGTTAGTACTTGAGTAACTAACGCTACATAACTTAAATAATATAGCACCAAGTGGCAATTAGGACGATAAAGCACGAATTTGCATTTAAGTTCCTTCAGTACAGACAGTTGCTGAGGCTTCGTTATACATTATCGCATGTGTTCTTATATGTACCCGGATTGTGTTGTTTTTGTGCTCTAAAATAAAGAAAGGGCCAAAGGGCAATGACTCTTTATTACAAACACTAGAAAATAATGTGTTTAAAAATTTCCTAGCATATTTTCTTAATACTCTTATAAATGGTATAGTTATTACATATGGACATGCATATCAAGGGATTCTCTCCAAATTCAGGAACCTTAACTTTAGAAGAAAAACTTAAAAATGATTAAATATCTGATCCTTTCTAAATGGCTGAGTGTCATATCCCGTTTGTATTCTTTGGTCCCATTCACTTAAAATACTCCTGTATAGGTATTTAAATCGGGTACAATGTTGTGCTGACAAAATTTCTATTATTTCTCATTAATGTGTAATTTTGTTTTGGTGTTATTTTCCTCTGGAAGGAAATGCCTTTGTGTTGATTATGACTATAACACTTACAAAATAAATGGGTATATTTTAGAATAGCATCCCTTAAATTCGGGGTTAAAATGGGTACGTGCGGATAGAAAAGGTTCTTTAAATTAAGAAAATATATTGTATGTATAGTTGCCGTTGACTTATGGGTTTTGAGATATTTGCATTTATATTTAAAAAATTCAACAATTTAAAGAACGTGTTTATAATGAATTTTACACCTATATTTTTAACTTAAATGATGTATCTGAATATATTCATTGGTGCTTGGTTTGTTGTCTGGAAAGTGAAAAAAATCATTTGGAATTCAAAATTGCTCTATATGGGAAGTAGGCAATCGTTCCGATTGCTCTCATTTTCATTATGTAACATAGGATCATCAGGATTATGTTATATACCGACTAGGGTTATTATCGGATTTGTCCTAAGCGAATTTGGATATTGTAGTTCCGCCCAATTTTTCAAAATTTTTAGACCTCAGGTGTACCTTGCAACTGCAAAGCACTGTACCAATTAACAAGTTTATATTTTTATTTAGTGCTAGTAATGGCATTTTATAGGTTTTTGTTTAATGGCGTTTTGTGGACGGAGCAGTGGTTCGATTAGGCCTATCTACGAACTCGTAATTACTGTTTTTGTTGTCAAGGAACACGTGTACCAAGTTTCATTACAATATCGGAATTTTAACTCAAGTTACAGCTTGCACGGACGGACGGACAGACAGATATATAACTCCATACCTACGTCGATTAGTAATATGTATGTGATACAAACACCGTTTGGTTAACAAAACTTCTATACTTTGTACCAACATGTTGCAAGAGTGTAAGAAAGAATATACCGTCATTACAAAATTTATAATCGTGTGATGAGTTACGCAAAATCTTTCAGAATTTCCTTTCTCTTGATAGATCCCGGTGTTGGATCGACCAGGGTTATTTTAATGAGGTGCGGCCAAAGACCGCCAATGCCGAAAGTAATTCTACATGAAATACTAATAATGTGTTATTTATTTCCTGCCATTAATGTATTATCTGTTTTCTTAATTTCTTTTGGCTCGTTTGCAAAATATGCAGATAAGGTAACACTGATTATTTGTTAGAATGTAACCCCTTTGTTATTGTGTTATTAATAAATATAGTTTAAAAAACTAACAAGTGAAAAATAATTTCTTAAATAAACTGACAGAAATATTGGCCGAAATTTAAAATTTTTAGTTTGAAGTGCTTTAAAAGCTTGTTTTTTTAGTTTTTATATCCTGAAACCCTTTTATATAAGCGTATTAAGTTTGCCACGAAGTTTGTAACACTCAGAAGGAAGCGTCGGACACCCTATAAAATATATACAGCTGTGTTCATAAAAATAGCAGTGCTCATGAGATGCAACTTTAAACTTAATTTTATATATCAAAAAGTAAATGAATGTTCACAAATTTAATTTTGTTTTAACTTTGTGATTATTTTAAGCAAAAAAAAAAATCAATTTATTATTCAAAATGTTGTTAATTTTTTTTACATTATTAATTTAAACAAAAAAGTGCTGTTTACAGCTGTTCATAAAAATAGCAGTGAGTAATGAAAACTGTGGAATTAGATGAAAAAAACATTGTTGAACTCCAAAAAACTATTTTAATTTGTTTGCTTGGGTTAGTACATAGTCGTGTACCCACTATTTTTTATTACGGCCTGGCATCTGCGAGGCATAGAATCCACCAAGTCCTGGCAGCGCTTGACAGGGATCCGCTCCCATGATTTTTGAACAACCTCCCAAAGCTGTGATCGAGATGTTGGATTTGCATTTGCAGCATATCGTTTAACATCTCCCCATAGGTTTTCAACTGGATTTAAATCCAGAGACTGCGCAAGCCATGACATAAGATCGATCCGCTTTGATGCCATCCAGCTTTTGACTACTTTGCTTGTATGTTTGGGGTCGTTATCTTGTTGAAACGTCCATTTTAGTGGCATTTCCCAATTGGCATAAGGAAACATAACATTTTCTAATATGTTAACATAGGTATACATATCGATCCATGATCCCATCAATCATAAATATATATAACCATAACACTCAATCCGCCGTGTTTAACTGTCTTCAAAGTGTACATAGGATCGTACTCTGTGTTAGGTGGACGTCTGACATATTGTCTGGAGCCCTTTCCACCGAATAACACAATTTTACTTTCGTCACTCCATAAAATATTTCGCCACTTTGTAATGGGCCAATTAAGGTGAATTTTGGCGAACTCCAAACGTGCTTTGACATGTCTGGTGGCTAACAGTGGAACTTTTCGTAGATGGTACGCTTTGAGTCATTTTTTTTATCTTGCTGGACGATGCAAAAGGCTGCGCCCTGCTATATCGCACAATAGATCGGTCCTCATGAGGTGTGGTTTCACGTTGGATACCACGATTTTCGGGCATTTCTTTAAAGTTTAAAGCATTATGAATCATTTTAGCAGAACATCCACATATTTCTTGGATGTCTTTATATGTTTTTCCCAGGTTTCTTAGTTGCACTATAATATTTCTTTTTTCAGGAGGACAATGTTTGCCTCTGTCCACTAAGTTAAAAATATAAATTTATTTTAGGGTTTTCTAATGTTAATAATAGTCACTAACACAAAACCACTTACTTTTTATCAATTAAACGTCTTAACAAAATTTTTTTGGCTTATCCTAATACGCACTGCTATTTTAATGAACAGCCAAAGACTGGTGCTTTAGCAAAAAGAGTTGTTCATTTGCTTAAATCTTGCAAATCTAACGGGATTTTTTCGTTTCTTTCATATACACATTTCATTCTACAACAACAATGTGTAGACGTTGGAATAATCGTAACGGAACTTGAAAAAAAATAACATTACTTGATTGCATTTCTCGCTATTGCTATTTTTGTGAACACAGCTGTACATAAATGATCAGCATGATGAGCTGAGTTTATTTAGCCATGTCCCTCTGTTTGTATATATACGAACTAGTCCCTTAGTTTTTTCCTCACAAAGAAGCTGCTCATTTGTCGGAACGGCCGATATCGGACCACTATAGCATATAGCTGCCGTACAAACTGAACAATCGTACTTGTATTGGAAACTTTTTTACTTGACATAATATCTTCACGAAATTTGGCATGAGTTATTTTCTAAGGCAACAATGTAATCTCCGAAGAAATTGTATAGATCGGATGACTTTAGCATATAGCTGCCATATGAACTAAACGATCAGAGTAAAGTGCTTGCATGGAAAACCATTTCATTTGACGAGGTATTTTCACGAAATTAGATTGGAATTAAGTTCTTGTAAGGAACCTTTATATATGTGAAGGGTATTATAGCTTCGGTGCAACCGATATTAACGTTTTTTTCCTGTTTTAAACTATATTTATTTTTAATTTTTTAGTTAAATGTACTTTAAAAGCATATTTTTTTTGTATTTTAACTCGTACTTATTATTTGGTCACACGTGGTGTGTTCACTTTATTTAAGGATGCGTTTGAGTAAATTTGTTGTTCAAATGACAGATAGTTTATGCTTTTAGATGCATAGTTTTAGGAACATTTTTTTCAAAGATGGATAGTTAATGCTTTTAGCTACATAGTTCCATAGCCGTTGTACGATTTCGCCCATTTTCACAGTATTTGGAAGAAATAGCTGGGGGACCTCTTATAACAAATTTGGTTGAAATTAGTTCGATATGTATGATATTACATCGAGGCTATGCCCACCTATAAAAAATTTCAGCCAATAGGTGTCCCCTGTGTAGTATCTTAATTTAGTGCATAGTTATAGCACTTTATGCATTTTTTAATGGCTTTTTGTGGGCGTGGCAGTGGTCCGATTACGCCCATCTGCAATAGCGACCTCTCTTGGGTGCCAAGAAACATATGTAGCAAATTTCAACAAGATATCTTAATTTATATTAAAGTTATCGCTTGCACAGACAAACAGTTACAAACTCACATACAGGTGAAGGTAATAAAAGCATTATAAAATGAATTGAACATATATTAAATATTAATATACATATGTATAGTTATAAAGTATTAACTTTAAATGCAAATATCTCAAGTACACATACCTTACTATGTTTTCTTAATCTGGAGAACCTCCTCTATCCGTACGTACCCATTTTAACCACGAATTCGGGGAATGTTTTCTCAAATTTACTCAACATTTTCCCACGCTATAATTTGAGACATGCTTCTCGGCGTTGGTGGGGTTAATTATACAATTAAATACTTCAACGCTATATTATTTAAACAAACAAATTTCACATTTTAAAATACGAGTTCAAATTTAACATTATATGGTACATATATATATATGGTATAAGACATATGTATATAGGTTGCAGCATACTCTTCGTCTTTACAAAGAGATTGAGTAAAGAAAATCAGACTCCACAATTTTTATACTTTGAACAGGCTATATTAAGTTTGCGTCTGTCTGTACGTGTGTATATATGCACTAGTACCTCACTTCTTGAGATATAGGTATGCAATTTTGCACACGAAATTTTTTTCCCATAAAGCTGGCTGTTTGTCGGAACACTATTTTATTTGATCCAATATATTTTCACGAAATTTGAAATGGATTATAGTCTAAAGCAATGGTACAATACAAAATTGTTCCCACGACAGTCGGGTTTATGTAACCGGAACGGACCCGGATTTTTGTCCGGCCAAGAACTGTCAACTCGGCAGAATTCTCCTTACAACAACAATAATAAAACTGTTCAGGTCGGACCACTATAGCAAATAGCTGGCTCTTATGGAAACCTTTTAGTTGTGAGGGTTTTACAACTTCGGTGCAACCAAAGTTAACGTTTTTTCTTATTCTTGTATATATGTGCATGTATTATAGCAGTCAGTTATTTATTTATTTAGTCAATCAATAAAATAAGTTGATTTCTAAAGGTCTTATGATTTGCCTTCCTCGTCAATAGATTTATGCTTTAGGCTTATAAATAAGACTATTTATTAGTTGATTATTCTTAAATATTTATTAAATTTATTATATAAAATACATGTTTGTACATAAAATAAGGAAATATGTGTCATGGGGGAGAACCGTTACAATTCTGCATTTGCGCTCAATTGCATAGATTTCTGGTAAACCTTTGTTGGATTTTTTCAAAGGAATAAATAGGTAATTAGAAATAAAAGAGTGGGGACTCAGTTTTGGTCATAGCTACTTTTGCATGAATGTATTTGCGCAAACTTTATTATATTATACATACATATGTACATATATTCTTTATGTAAAGGTTTAAATGTCATTTCTTTTGCTTTTCTTTAATTTCAGGTGCTTTCCCAATAGATTTGAGCGTAGTAACCAGAATGCAATAATTTCAAGTGGAAACGTGTGCGGCTTAGTGTCTTTAAAAATATAAATCGAGAAACCACAAGAGATTTCTACCACGTGCACCCAAACACGAGTGCTGCAGTATACATCACTGCTATAGATTTGGATGAAATAATTTACAACCGTTCTTAGAATTGAATGTGCAAACTCCCCCAAAGTTGAAGCCAGACAACGAGTAGTGCCAGCTAAGTTGCATTGCAACGATTAATTCAAGAAATTTTCGATTGGTTGCGATTTTAATAGGAAGATAGAAAAAAGTATACGAGTTGTGAAAAAAATTTAGTAATAATTTACAAGCGACTTTACTGCCAAAACGTCGACGAAAAATACAAGCAAAAAATCACCAGCAATTATTGCTGCTTCAGGCCCGACAGCAAGTGGTCGCCGATCGAGCAAAGTGGTAACAGTGGCAGCGGCAGCAGCATCATCTGCTGCTAAAACAACGGCAACGACGACAACAACGGCGATTCCATCGTCATCAGGTGGTGGTGCAGGCACTGGTGCTGGTGTGGCGACAGGAACAGGTGGTGCAAGTGGTGGTGGCGGCGGCGGCGGTGTACATAGTCGCAGTGGACGACGCAGTCATAGCAGCAATATACCGCAACAGCAGCACACTATTAGCAACACCAGAAGCGGCCACAATATTAAGACTAGTGCGAGCCGCAATAGCAACATTCGCAGTTCTTCGTCCAATAGCACAATGGCATCGTCCAATCACCGTGGTGGCGGAGGTGGTGGCGGTGTTGGCGGTAGTTCGGGCCTGCAAATTGGCTCGGCGTGGTTTCAACGCAAAATCAATTTACGACCACAGCATCGAGGTGTTCATTTAGTCACAGAAGAGATACTCCGACAGATGCCCGAATTAGGGCAGTTTTCAGTGGGATTGTGTCACGTGCAAAGTAAGTAAATTCTTGATTATTAAAAGAAAAACTCTTGCAAGTAGCGAAATGTTAAATGTATATTATAATGTTTTACGCTGTTCATTAAAAAATATTGTATAAATTGTTAAGAATATTAAAAAGATTTTTTTTCATAAGCTACCACACTTCGACCCACAGCTTAATATATACTTATGTACATACTCGTACATATGTAAGTTTAACTTTGCAATAATGCATTTTATGCTTTATTGTAATGAGGTTTCTTTAAAAGCCAAAATCAACTTTATTGATTTGCTTGCGTTGAGGTATTTACTTAACAAGTAGCAAATAATCTAAACTAGTTCTCACTTACAAGGTGTACACGTGTAGGCGCTTTTCAATGTAAGCAAAAGCAGCGTCATATGTGTATTGTTTAAAAAAAAAATAACTTATTGCTTTAACCATACCAGGACAAGTATACCTACGTTTATTTTGCATCGTGAAATTTTACCCTCGTAATTATGTATATGGTATACAGTTGTCTACAAAATGATTGTTATTTTCGTTAAACATTGCGAGTTCTCGGAGACCCTTGTTATTGCTTTCCAACAAAAAATAAAATTGTTAGACATTTCCTTTCTGAAATAATCTTTAACCTAAAAAATATTCGCATAATTAGAAAAGTAAGTATATTTCTATAATCTAGCAGGAATTTGAATTAGTTATTGTGAATTTAATCATTGGATTTTTCTGCTCAAGTGGTAGCAAATGCCTTAAATTATAGGATAAAAATGAATAACCAGACGATCCCAATATAGGATACTCCTCCAATATTAATGGTTTTGCGTCTGCCAGGAGCATCAGTGATGGACTAAATTTTTTCAGTTAAGGGGTTACATGGATTTCACGCTTTTGGAGGTACTACTTTGAAAAGTTGCGCGCTCGAGGTCATTTATATAGTCACTTAAAACTTTAAACGCGTTTTTCGTGAAACTGTGTTTTCAAAGTCGGTTGTCAAGATTTCCCGCAAACTACTCAACCGATCTTAATGAAATTTTACACAGGTCTTCAAGATATTAAATATTAATAACCCAACGATTACCCTCCTCCAGCCCAACCGACGCTAGGGGCGCAATCCGCATACGTGCGGAATTAGCCGAGTCAGAAAAGGCAAGCGAGTTTTTTAAGTGTTGAGATCTAAAACTGCTCAGCTACAGAAACAAAAATTTCAACAGCCAAGATCTAAAGTTACAATATAATAGATTGTTACATTTTCATTTATTAAGAGAAAACAATAAAGTCTTTTTAATTTTAAAAAGTGAGTCAGATAAGTCAAATGTGCTGGAATGTGAATTAAAATCATGACATATACGGCGGAATGGCTCGTTTAGTTCAAAACTTGATCTACAGGATTTTAGCAGTAAAGGTCTAAACTGGCTCGAAAGGCGAACCGGGATATTTAATTTAATTTCAGACAGGAGAAAAGAACTGCAAACTGTTTCATTCAAAATTTTCACTAAGAATATTATGCCAAGCATTTCCCTACGACTAGAAAGTGTAGGTAGATTAATAAGTTTTAAACGACTAGTGTATGGAGGTAGACTTACCCTAGAATCCCGGAAATGCGCTAAGGCGAGAAGTAAAAATTGTTTTTGAACCGACTCTAACTTGTCAGAATGGATTTGGCAGCTCGGATTCCATACAACAGAGCCATATTCCAATATAGGTCTACCCAAAGTTGTATAAAGTGTTTTAGTAATATACGGATCTCTAAATTTTTTAGACCAACGTTTAACAAAACTGAGGACAGCTTTTGCTTTCAAGACCATGGTATCAATATGAAGACTAAAATTAAGCTTAAGGTCCATATTAACTCCCAAATCAACATAGTTAAAAACTTGCTCTAGAAAGCTTTACATGGTCTTGAATTCAATTACAATTATCTTCTTTCAATTACAATTATTTAAAACAAAAAAACGTCGAGAAGTTCTGCTGTCAACACGGAAGCACTAAATCTTTATCAAATATGTATCTTCGGAATAATAAAAAATTTGAATAAATTGAATAAAAATTTGAAAATAGGGCGTTTTTTGCTCGACGAAACCCATGTAACCCTTTAATACTGAAAATTTTCGTAGGTGTTTGTTTATGAACAAAAAGAAAAAGCTTGCCTTGTGGCCCGTGGCTAAATTGCAAACAATTTTGCGGTCAGATGAATCCCAAATTGAATTACATATTTGGTATTATATGGGTGGGTATATCATGAAGGTTATGATCCTAATATCAGCAAGTTGAGTTTATGCCTCAGTCTGTTGAGTCTACTGACTTCAACCCCATAAAAACCTCAGGACCCATATAAAAAAGTGTTACTGGATGAAAACCAACCAATTCGAGAGATTCGTGGCGAAAAGAGGGAGAGAAAAGTTTGGGAAGGATTACCATTTGAAGTGTGGTGCTCTGTTAACTGGAACTAGTAGAACTAGTTTTTCAGCTTATTTAACATAAATTGTGATACACAATTTTGTTTACGTTCCATTGAAATATATAGAATATGGAAATATTAATACATCATTAATAAATATAATGTTCAATAATTTTGAAAAATTCGTACATTGCGATGTTTATCATTGTTGATTATGGGCTTATTAAAGAAATAAAATAACCGTTGTTCTAATTAAGAAAAAAAAACGTTAATTTCGGTTGCACCGAAGCTATAATACCCTTCCCAAATACAAAGGTTCCTTACAAGAACTTGATTCCGATCGTTCAATTTGTATGGCAGCCATATGCTATAGTGATCCGATACAAAAAATTTCTTCGGAGATTACATTGTTGACTTAGAAAATAACTCATGTCAAATTTCGTGAAGATATTACGTCAAATAAAAAAGTTTCCCATACAAGTACTTGATTCCGATCGTTTAGTTTGTATGGCAGCTATATGCTATAGTGGTCGGATATCGGCCGTTCCGACAAATGAGCAGCTTCTTAGTAAGGAAAGGACAAGTTGCAAAATTTCAGGTCGACAGCTTAAAAGCTGAGGGATAAGTTTGCATATATACAGACGGACGGACAGACGGACAGACAGACGGACATGGCTAATCAACTCAGCTCATCATGCTGATAATTTAGTATATATTTTATAGGGTCTCCGGCGTTTCCTTCTGGGTGTTACAAACTTCATGACAAACTTGATATACACTGTTCAATGTATAAAAATATTTCACAAGTACAAATTATCGTTTTTCCTAGGCCCAACATACATAATATTATATCAAGCCCTTTCCGAGAATATAACGTAAGCGACATTTTGTCAATTTTTGTTTTTATACCCGGAAAAGGTTATGGTAAGTTTGCCACGAAGTTTGTAACACCCTTGGAGACCTTATAAAAATATATATAAATGATCATGGGTCGATTTACCCACGTCCGTCTATCTGTCTATACGTGAACCAGTCCTCAGTTTTTGAGACATCGTATTGAAATTTTGTACACGTTCTTGACTCCCAAAGAAGCTGCTCATTTATCAGAACCGCCGATATCGAAACACTTTAACATATGGCTGCCAAAAAAGCTGAACGATCGGAATTAAGTCCTTGTATGGACATTTTTTCTATTTGACGAGATATCTTCACGAAATTTGGCATTGATTACTGTCCACAGCAACTGTACAATCTCCGGAGAAGTATGTTCAGATTGGACAACTATAGCATATAGCTGTCATTCAAACTGACATATCAAAATCAAGTTCTGGTGTGGAATCTTTTTTATTTGTGAACCGATGTTAACATTTTTTCTTGTTTTTTTTTAATACAATGTTGACAATTATCAATCATATCTAAGCAAAAACTTTCAAAATCCAAGTCAGTATAATAACTGTGCTATCGACTTAACAATTATAACGCGAGCGACAAACAAGCTTCTTCGAGCCTGGGAAAATAACGTAAGCAACATAAAATAAAATAACTAGAAATAAGACATATGAATCAAAAATCGAAAAACGTATGGGTATGATTCTGGTGCACGAAGATAGTAGGTGAACACATGGTTAGTTCATTGTCCAATTGCATTTCACGGAAAGATGGTCTGAAAAGATGTCAAGCGTTTATTTTGGACGAAAGCAAAAAATGCCTAATTTATATTTAATGAGATAATTGCGCTAGGCTAAACCGCCATAAAGCCATGTCTCAAAAGTCAGCCAAGTCTAAATAAAATCAGGTACATTTTTCTTATTATAGAAATTATATGTGCACACGACCTCAAGCTAATACATTTTTAGTATAAAAGGCGTTATCAAATTTTTGTTTTTGTTTAATTATTATTATTTTCATAATTACACCACATGGTAAAAATAAACTCAGATTCCTTTAATTCATTCAACAAATTTAAAAAATAAACATATGCTCTAAGAAAATATTTATATGTGCATGTTAAGAAATCAGTTATTTTCTTCAAATGTATTGATGAATTAAGATTGTCAATAAGAAATAGCTTTCCTTTATTATTTTGCACTTGGTTGAATCAAGATGGCATGGATTCAACCAAAGGTTTTAGCTTTGACATCGCGATTAAAGCCCATTTTCAATGTATTGCCATTTTTAATTATTTTGCCGTATTAAACTGGCTTAATCAGATAATATTCCCCACAGCTCATCGATAGGGTGTAAATCCGGCCCTTTTTCTGGCCACTCCTTTTTTGTAAAAGTTGCATTGTGGATCGAGGCATTGTCTTGCTGGAGAATCCAATTGTCTTCGTAAAGTTGCCTTGCAAATTCTATTAATTCACTATCTAGCAACTCCAAATACATTGGTGCATTCATATTTGTCGTTATGTAGCATGTTAGAGATTTTCTTTCATAACAAAAGGCAGCCCACACCATTATACAACCTCCACTGTGTACTCCGTCGAAATCGAACTTTTTTCATCCTAGAATATCACGCTTCATCACTCTTCGTCACAAAATTGGTACATATCTGCAAATGCTAAACGAGTACTTACATATATGGTATGTCTAGGAAAAAGATAAGAAAAAAAGTTGT